TTTAGTATTTTCATGGTTTTTCTTGTATTCGTGTGATGTTTAAATCTAATTTAAAGAAGAAGACTAATGTTGTTTTCTGAATAGCTTTGTGCTATTGTGGATTCAGGTTTTGTGTCTCCTCCTACTAAGCAGAGAGATCAGAGGAGAATATAAGGCAGAAGAAAAAGGGTGGCACTATGGAATATGAAACTAACAACTGGATTTGGGATGGAATGTACAACCACCCACATGTATTTGGCGGTCTAATGCTGACGGCAGCCTTGCTCGGCCTGTCCACGAGCTATTTTGGTGGAATTACAGTTCCCCAGTTGCCTTATTTATGGTCTGAATCTGGGATCTTCCACAAGAAGAAATGTGATAAGAAGCGCATTCGGGTTTACATGGATGGTTGCTTTGATCTCATGCATTATGGTCATGCGAATGCCTTGAGGCAAGCCAAGGCTTTGGGAGATGAGTTGGTGGTGGGCGTAGTTAGCGACGAGGAGATTATTGCCAATAAAGGTCCACCTGTTTTATCCATGGAAGAGAGGTTAGTGTTTATGCTCATAAATATGCACATTAACATGCTCATTTCTCAAGAACACGCATTTATGTTGGAATGCTGAAAACATTCCTAATGGAATTAGAATGAGCACGTTAACATGCTCATTTCTCAAGAACACACATTTATGTTGGAATGCCGAAAGCATTCATATGTGAGTTCAAGTTGTAACTTTTGTTACTTATCCACCAACTCAAGTTACAGAATATGTTACATGCATACAAGTACTTTATCCAGAGAGTTTGCAACTTCAGATTTCGTAATAATAGTGTTATTCAGCAATCATTGGAATTAGAATACGCTGTTTGGTCCACCCATACCTTTATTGTTCAGATAGAAATTCTTGTAACTGTTGTATAATCTCCCGGTGCATAAGATCACTGTATTATCTATATACTTTATGTAACTACTTATTTCTATCTAATTTGAAGTTTCTTTCTAGACTGGCTCTCGTAAGTGGTTTGAAGTGGGTGGATGAAGTCATACCCAATGCTCCTTATGAAATTACTGAGCAATTCATGGGCAGACTCTTCAACGAGCATAAGATTGACTATATTATACATGGTGATGACCCTTGCCTGCTGCCAGATGGAACTGATGCTTACGCCTTGGCGAAAAAAGCTGGTCGCTACAAGCAAATTAAACGCACTGAAGGTGTCTCCAGCACAGATATTGTAGGTACTATGATTCTCTTCATCTCCCTCAGAGGTTTCTCCTTTTGTTTGAAATGACCCCAGTACTTATTTTTCAAATCCACTTGTGACTTTTCTTGTGGTCAAGCGATCTAGAAGTGAAGAGATTTGCTGAACGATCTGCCTAGATGGATAAACTGTTGCATGTTGAAAACATTTTCTTATTTTCAATCGGTCTAATAGTAATCATATGTAGGGAGGATACTTGCATCTCTAAAGGAGACAGATGGTAAAGATCAAAATGGTACTTCCTTGCAAAAATCCCCAGAAAGTCAACCCAAGAGTGCCAATTTATCTCAATTTCTGCCAACATCCCGACGGATTGTGCAATTCTCTAATGGAAAGGTGGGTGTCACTTGCTATCTTGGCAGTTTTAACTTGAACTTTTTCATTTATTTTTATTTTAAGTTATTAGTATTTCATACACTACAGACTAAGCTCCTCTTTAGGATCTAGTGCATCTAGTGACATGCGAGAATAAATACAATTGGAAATGAACACACAGACCACTTTGGTACATATCAAGACCAAGAAGTCACCATGGGTACCATACATGACTCTGATGAAGCCACTTCCTACTCTAACTTGTCAATACTTTTACAATGTATAAAATCATGAAGAGAAAAGACCAGTAAATGAAAAACCTTCCTAATTATGCGGTAACACAATCCTTGATTGATTATTTACTATTTAATTTAAAGAGCAAAGCATTGACCAATTAGTGGGATCTGTGTGAGTAACACAGTAAACCATTTTGCACGGTAGCTTGGTATTTGAGGCTTCATATTCTTTTCATATTTATTTCAAACCATAGAGATAAAATGGGGCGGTAGTGGAAATTTAGTTTTTTGTTTCTTTTTAATGCAAAATTTATTTTCTGGTCCTCCATGATAACACCTTCTATATTCTCAGGGACCTGGACCAAATGCTCGTGTTGTGTACATTGATGGGGCATTTGATCTCTTTCATGCAGGACATGTTGAGGTATAATTATATCTTTGTGTTAAGTTGGATCTTTGTAGTGCATTTGCCTATGTGATATCAAGTTTCAAAGTCTGAGGTGCATCTTGAAATGACATTTTTCTACCTCATCCTAGATGTTCTCTAACTTCAATAAAAGCTTGGAGCAATTTCTAAATAGCCTTCATGATGGCGTTTTGTCATAATGCACTCTAGCATGACTCATCTGTATTTTAAGTCTGGTATATGCATTAGTTCCATTGCTTTAAGAGAGAAATGGATCCCACCACTGCATTAATATACGAAATGCCATTGTCAATTGTGACAGTTCTCTGCTAATCATTAGTTGTAAGGCTACCCGTTGAAGCCTTGGGTTAAGGTTTGACCTTCTGCCAACATAAGCAGCATGCTGTATGTAAACAACTGAATGTTGTCATGTGATGTTCACACCCCTCCTTTTGGCAATTCTTAACTGTGGAGATTGATTAGAGCATCTTCCCTTTCTGTATGAACAGTTATCAAATATTTTTCTCATCATTTCATCATATGAAGGCTGTTTCTCTTTTTTGGGTGCTTGCTCAGATCTTGAAGAATGCTAGGCAGCTCGGAGACTTTCTACTAGTTGGCATCCACAATGATGAGACTGTCTGGTAATTCCCTTTTCTTCATTTGACATCAATTCGTTCATTGGTATAATTATGGTGCCAAGAAATTTCCTTCTCTTTCTATCTTTATATTTGGAAGCTAAACATAAAAATGTGTTTATTTTGCTGTCTACTTTAGTCAACAAGGGTAAACTTGTAAAAAGACCAAAAACCAAACTAATAAAATTTTGCTACTTGCAGTGAACACAGAGGGAAGCATCCAATAATGCATTTACACGAACGTAGTCTTAGTGTATTGGGTTGCCGTTATGTTGATGAAGTCATCATTGGTGCTCCCTGGGAAGTTACCCTGGACATGGTGAGTAAATGAATCAACTTATCTTCCTATTGCATTTTATACCAATCAACATGTTCATGATGTTTCTTCAATCAACATGTTCATGATTTTATTTGCGTACTGTTTCTTCAGTCAACATGTTCATGATGTTTCTTCATGGCCTTGAATGGGACTATAACATGTAAGTGTCGTCATAGTAATCATGATTCTACCTTGGCTTGAACAATAAAATTTCCAACATTATTGCTGTTTGGGAATGCGCATAGATTCGTGACATGCTTGCCACTTGTCTTCATTACTTTAGATAAGCATACCTTACATTTGTGGTGGAGTCCATGGATTCAATACGTGCTGGCATGTGTGTGATATAGCATGCTATAGGCAATAGTTTTATCAATTGGAAGGACAACAAATTGAACCTATTCCCAGATAAAAATGGTTCGGACAATAAATTATACCTTTCTCATCCTCATTTTATACTTCGGTAGTTTATTCAGAATAGTGGAATCCTTATGATGCAGTCTGTTTAGATGTGTTAATCACTGTATCTGAGTTCTATATTCTTGCATTGACAGATAACAACTTTCAACATTTCATCAGTTGTGCATGGGACAGTTTCCGAGTACAACTCCTTGTTTACTGTAAGTTGATGGATTTTTCTTCAAATTTGATCACTGTAAACTTTGTTCTATGCAAGCTGAAAATTGGGTTATTGAATGGGGTGATTTGTACCTTGCAGGGTGAGAGTGATCCTTATTCTGTTCCCAAGAGCATGGGGATTTTCAAATTACTAGAAAGCCCAAAAAGTATAACAACATCATCAGTATCCCAGAGGATAATTGCAAATCATGATGCTTACTTGGTACCTCCGAAATCCTTGTCTACCTCTTTGCTTATATGCACTAGTACCATTGTCGATTGAAAACCATGTTTAATAACTTCTATACAAGTAAACTGGCCATCATTATTTGTTAGATAAAATCCTGTGTCGTGTTTATATTCACCTCTTTGAACAATTCCTCTCTCCACACATCGCAACCATAAGTTTCACGGTGGATGTTCGTAGAATAAAAAGAAAGTATTTTCTCATATGATGTTCTGCACGTGCAAAATTTCTGCTTGAGAGTGCTGATAAAGTTGTGCCCCTGTTGTCTTTGATGCAGAGACGCAATGCCAAAAAGAAGGAGAGTGAGAAGAAGTACTATGCACAGAAGACGTATGTCTCAGGAGACTAGCCCGTATGAATTAACTAGTAAAGCTGATCGGTACTTATTGAAGAGCCGTGTGTTGTGGAGGCCATAGAAGATTGCCATTTTGCTAGAAGGACGAGAATAGAAGGGAACGCCATGGAAGAATATACCGTCATGATGTCATCAGACTTTTATGTAGAGCATTTTTTTATCCATTCAATGTATCTCTGCTAGAATATAGATGAGAATCAACAATATATTAACCTCGTCAAAACCTCCTGTGCATATTTGTAACCAAAAATTGTTAGGGTGTTTACACTCCCCTCTTTTATGCCATTCTTCTCGTAGTTTTGATTCATAAATTTAATCTGCATTACCTTTCTTCCTTATTACAACCATCTTCCAGAGACGTGAAGATTGATTGTCGCTAGACCAAATAGCCATTGAGTATTCTATCTTTTGGCCAGAGACGTGAAGATTAATCTGCATTACATTTCGTCTTTATTACTGAAGTGCAATTATGCGCACGTTCACGTTCTAACAAGGGAGAGTTTACGCCTTAACTCGGGGTTCTGTGTTGGATTCCACCCGAGGTGTTATGTTGGAATTCACCCCACCCGTTACTGTTTGTATCAAATTGTGTTAAAATTCAAGTGATGTGCATGTTGTTTGAGATTATGCGCTGAACTGAATATCATTAAAGCCATAATTAACATACAAATCATTTTCCTTCACTGCTCTCCCGCTATTAACATTACAACACTACCTTCTGGATCTGGTGTTTACTCACACAGCAAAACACCTCCCAATCAATTTTCTAAAACAAGGAACAATCTCCTCCTTGTTAGTTGTTACCATACATATCATATAACCTAGTCGAAATCTGCAACCAAAAAAAATGAGGCACTACCCGAATTCCAACCCCACCGCCTTCCGGTCTTCATCGGAACCAAGTGATAGGTGTGGTGGTGTTTTGTGGAGGCTGTGGGATCATACAATGCTGCTGCTGCCACTCAGGAAACCCTTCATTACTCGTCCACATACCCCCGCCATACACGTTAGCCATGCCTTGTCCTTCTGTGCTCTCCTCTTCAATCTCCATTGTTGCTGTTCCCATCTCTTCAGCCTCCATCAGCTCTCCCGGGGCCTCAGATTGCTGCGAAACCTCCATTGATGGCACAGGCGGAAGCTGGCTTGGAACCCATGGAACAACAGCTTTACATCGATTCGCCTTGTTTTGCACCGTCTCGTCATCTTCCTCTGCTGATTGTCTGAGATCATAATGGCTGGAGCACAGAAATTGGTCTGGAGAAAACCCATAAAACATCAAATTTCCGAAATTTTGAGACAGAAATCGTCAGGAAATCCAAACGGGTAGTTGAAATGCGTACCCTTGAAGCCGGAAATCAAATCGGAACGAAGAGAGAAGACGGGAGGGCAACTGACAGGCTTGAAGAGCACAATGGCCTTCTCATGGTTTTCTGACGGCAACTCCTCGATAACTGGAGCATCTAATTTCACCTGATTCGGAGCCACCGCAAACTCCGCCTCCTCCTCCTCCATGATGGGCGGCAAATGAGCATCCTAAGTTACCAAATTGAGTCAGAAAATTTGAAACATTCAACAGAATTGGCTCGAAAATTGAAGTGAAGAAAGCAAACAAAAAGATGGGGTTTTTACATACCAGGCGGCGAATCTTTCTGGCGGGAGAAGAAAGAGAGAAGTCGGAGAAGTCTTCGTTGACTTGGTCAAGCTCCTCCACCTCCTTCCTCTTTTTCTTCATCGTTTTCATCAGCATTCGGTCTGAGACAAAGTAGTCCTCCATGTGAGAGATTTCTGCCACTCTGCTTCTGATTCTGCAGAAATGGAGATTTGGGTTATTGTTGAACTCTGTGATTGTTGAGGATTCGATTGGAATTTTGGATTTGATTTGCAGAGACGACCTGAAAGTCTGGAACTTAAAGACTTAATTGAAGAGTTTGCAGTCTCTGTAAAAAGAGAGAGAGAGAGAGAGAGAGAGAGAGAGGTAGGTTTCTGCGGGTGTCTAGATTTCTCCAGAAGACAAAATTGAAAAGAATCCATGTGGGTGTCTGGATTTCATTGGCTAGTTATGGGCACCTCTAGTGTGGCCCATGGGCCATAGTAAATAACAACTATTAGAACTGGAAAATTAAGGATTTGGATTCCCATCCGGATTCTCTTTATGAGGATCTTGGAGATTATTGCATCTTATATGTTCATCGTATATCGTGCGATTATCTAGAATTCTCATACAAAATTAGTAATAAAGTTGACTAAATGTTGGTTGTCAAAGCAAGTGGCTCTTTACCACAGTGGTGGAAATGTGTTTGCCCTTATATGACAGCGTGGATTCTAATCTCGTCGATGTCTAATATAATATCTAACTTATATTGGATGAAAATCGAAATGCAATCAATAAACAAAAACATTTTAAAGCATTTTTTTATTTTAAAATTGAATCATTAAGACAATGGTAATTAAAAAAAAAAATTATATATATATATATATATATATATATAACTACTAACTAGTAATTGTAATATTAATATATTTAAACTAGAAGAACTCAGTTAATGAAATTATTTTTTACTTGTAAACGGAAAATAAAACTTACACTCACATCCTCAACAAATGAGGTAGTGAACAGAATTATTGGACCTCAAAAGGCTTAGCAAATCCCAAAGCTACACCTCAGACAGTCAAACTTAGTGCCAATTTGGGGTTACTTTTTTGGAATAACCTTTTTCAAAAGTTTCTTAATTGCTAAGATGTTTGTTAAAGGTGTGGTGTGATAAAGTTGTTTCAAGCTAAACTTATAAAGCAGTTGGGGTGGTGCTTTCACTTCAGTTTATGCGCATATCAAAATCGGAAGAGACGGAAACGTTCAATGAATTTAGTTTACTCACTACTAAAATATGACCGTCCGATGGTATTTTTTTCACCTGTAGTTGAGAGGTATTAGGTTCAATACTCGTCAAAGACGAGTTGAACCATATTATTATAACAAATAGTCCATTATAACGCTTAATTCACTCCACCACGCCCTTAATATAGATACTATCATTTCTTATAAAAAAATACAGTTTACAAATTGCCTTTTTTGTTTTTCACAACATATAATCCCACACCACTATTAACAGTGATTATTTTTACAGCACAACAATGTCAAACTAAGCCTTAACAAGGCTCGACAGTAACTCACATTTAAAAGTTATTCGTGTACACTAAAAAATTGCAAATTGTAAAGAGATCTCTCTTTTTCTGTTCTTACTTTCCCCGTTTTTGTTAAGAGAGAAAAAAAAAATTGACGATGGGATAACCTTTTTCAACATTGTAAGTATTCATTAATTTTTATGCTTTTTTATTTGTCAATTTTTTTTATCCTTTCTTGAAGGGGTGTGTTATCAACACATCTCATTTTACTTCTCACACACCCCTTGATAATTTTTATCCATTGATCTTCTTCAATTCATCTGATTTGACGGCCAAAAATTAAAAAAATGTGTGAGACGTAAAATAGGGTGTGGATATCACATCCCTTCTTGAATTGCTTTAAGAATATGATCATCTACACCGGCAAAAGAAAGTGAAGTATAAGTTTCTCATGACCCAAAATACCGATTCATCAAAAATGCTATGCAAGTCATTGCGGACACCAAGTAATAACCAACTTCTCCGATAACTTTATTCACAAGGCAAACATATTCGACAGGAATAACGTAAAAACAGTACACATTCCCTTCATATTTGAGCCGTCGCACAGAAACCAGAACATGATCTCTCCAAACTATTTCCACTAAATCTCTACTACTTGCAAACTCTACTATTTGCTGCATTTCTATAATTTGTTTCAGACTCCCACTTGATAATACAAGCATTTAAACATGCACTAGTTTCTCTCGTCGTAAAATCTGCAAGGCATACTGATTCTGCACCGGTGCTTTTATTAAGCTAAGAATCTTCAACGGGAGAGAGTAATAGGATGATTGAAGAATAACTTAGCATGGGATATAAATTGGCGTCGAGAAAGTGAGCATACTGCTTAACTGCGGTATCTCTTTCTGGGACGTCACTAGAAAGGAAGTCAAATGGTGTGCACTTGCTGGTGTCGACCAAGGGCTCCCATCTGTATCCAGGCCTCTCTGGCAGAGAAATGGTCACGGCTAAGTGGCTGGCATTGAAAGCAATATACAGCTCTCTCTTCACAGAGTCCACCTGGATTCACACTTAGAGTCACGGACCATGTAGTAGCAGACATTGATAATTAAAACAACCCAATAAGATACAAAAGAGAAACTATTAACCCCAACAATAACAGAAAATCGGTTACTCCTACGATGCTGCTAAAGGTGGCACTTTCTAAGAGGTGTGCATGCTAGGACAAACACTTTTTGTCATACAGCCTATGCAAAAGTGTTCTTAGACTGTCAACCTCGACCATACATTCAAACAAGAATTCATCTTATCTCCCAAGCTATATATCTATGGCCATCTAATGAAGACGCAAGTTGAGGACCTAATTATTGATTTATTAGATTGCCACTATATATCCAACCTGCAAATTGGGTGTAGTCCGGCACAAATACATGAAAAAACTATGATAAAATCCAAAAAAATAACTTATCGTTGCACTTTTGTTATTTTTTTTATTTCTATACAAACTTTTTCATTGCAATTCTTGTAACCCTGGTCTGACCTGTTCATACTTTTACACAAGCATCAGTGCATTTGTATCATACAAACACAGGTATTCTCCTTTAGGTTTGAGTCTATTCTAAAGATCAATAGAGCTGGTCTCCATATTATAAGGCAACGCACTAATGTGGTCAAACGCCCTACGTGATCAAGGTCGATGGCTCCTTAATCTAGAGACCTACAAAAAGGTGTGCCAAGGCTCCTTTTGGGGCTCAAGCCTTGATTTCTACATGTTGGAAAACGGGCAGACCAGTTGGAAGAGTGTTTGGTATGTATTTGAGAATGGGAGCATTCAGAAGAACCCAGGATAAACCAGTTACATGATATGTCTGATAGGGTACTTCCTTGCAAGTTAAGACTTTTATGTAACACAAGGGCATAAGGCCACTGTGGAAGTTGGAACATGGAAATCTTCCACTTATCCCCATTTCAATAAACAAGGTACGAGAATTAAAATTTGATTTTAAACTGCATTAGTCAGGGTGGTTAATACCAGAGTAAAGGCAACAAAGCGGCTTGTGTCAGACCAGTCTGGCACCCCTGGAGCATGACCATGCCACTGCAGCCTCTCTGCTGTTGGGAAGTCATTTAACCCAAGTGACTCGCATTCCCTGCATAATTCACAGTGAGGAGATACAAGACATCAATCAGAAAGCAAAGTATAATTACCTCCAACCAATAATGTAGATACATACTGGCGGAATTTGGTCATGAGGCAGCAAAATCTGAAAAAGTCTGATGAGGACTCTTCTTTCTTATCCCATCGAAAGTAATTAATCTACAGCACAGAAACAACCATAAAAATAATGAATAAAATAAAATAAAAATAGGGTATGACAGAAAGAGTGTTGACAAGGTGTAGAAAAATACATAATTGTCATGGCAATATGTGTTGTTGTTTCCTCCTTTTGTATGGCCGTATTCATCACCCATACACAGCATTGGGACACCCTGATAAATAGAAGAAAAAATTGAATTAATGTAGTCAGTAAGCAGACAAAAAAGTATGCGACATCCTCAGCACAATCTACCTAGAAAGTGCCTGAATTTAAACAATATCTGCAGGGCAATATAGAATTCTGCTCCAAAAACTACAAGATGCAAAATCAAGTTAATGTACAAATTCAGGCTCTTCTTTTATTTTTAGAATGAGAATTCAGCAGGATCCATTCGACACTGGTAGGGTCGTACGAAAGCAAAGATCAACACCATTCAATAGGAAACCAAGTTAGCTGTATAGCACTAATTTGTATTTCTCCTTTATTTCCTTGCACTGAAAACACACCAATTATCATGCCCTACTATTTTGGTGTCCATGAACTTCATGGATGCACATGACCCTTCCCAGTTAATTGAAAATGTTGTCCAGAAATCTTTAAGAAACTAAAAGATATAATAAAAAATAAAACTTAGACTCGCTTTACAAGAAATCAAGGCCGACACACATGCTATAATAAGGAAGAGTCATAGTATAAAATGAACTATAACTGAACCTCGTTTCAATAAAATAGTAATAAGAACAGCATCTTACTTGGGAGACCATGAGGCAGACAAAAAAATTCCGCATTTGTCGCTTCCTCAATTTCTTCACTGAAATGCTTGCAAACTCTCCCTCCTAAATAATAGTAAATTGGAAAAAACACCCCCACACCATTAAAATTTATAACAAAGACACTTCAAGAGCTCAATCCGAGAAAAAGCCCTCATCTATCCATTGGTGTTACAAAGTAAGTTGGGTTTTTCTCTAAATAACAATGTATTAAAAGCGTGAGGCGTGGGCAAGGCATCTAAGGGATAGCCCGGCCTAGGCGTGAGGCAAAGCCTCACGGGACCTAAATTTTTTAAAAAAGAAGAAGATTATTAATCAATAATCATCCTAAACACACACATATATTATAAATATATATACACACATATATATATACATATATTATATTATATATACATAAAATAAAGGATGAAAAGCACAATGAGCACACATATAACAATGCACGCAGATAGCACACATATCCATTATATAAAAAAATAAAAATCAGAAAAGAAAAGAAAAAGGCAGAGAGACGATAGTGCAAGGAAGAGGTATAAGGCAGTTAAAACCCTACCCAAAATTTTGGGTTTGGGAGAAAAACTTAAACTTTAAAAAAAAAAAAAAAAAGAAAGAAAGAAAAACGAAAAAAAAAGTCTTGAGGTGCGCCTAGGCGGCTCCAACAACGCCTTCCGCCCACTCCCTCAAAACAGAGGCAGCAACCCTTACGCCCAGCCTCAGAGGATGC